TCTGTTCTTTTGTCTTTGATATGCACGCAAAGAGCTTGACAGTCTGGGAGATGTGGGAGATTTGTCGGCCTGTGATCTCCATGCCTCTCTGACAAATGAGTGCCTTTGGCAGGGCTGCTGGAGGTGTGGCTCCTCTGCCCTGCTGGAATCCTAATGAGACTACTCTGGAGCTGCTCGTAATGAAGTCAGGGCACAGGACCAACCTGCTGCCAGAAATGACCTTTAATCTACACACATGCAGTTCATTTGGCATGCAGTGACTCACAGTTGCACATACACCTTGGTGCTTTTATGTCTAGCACATTTTTCAGTGCCATGATACAAAAACAGGCCAAAGCATATGATTTAAATCCTTATAGCCACGCATTTGCCATCTAGCACTCAAAATAAAAATAATACTTCAGTAATCTATGCAGCTTGCTATGGTGGCAGCAAACTGTTTGTATTTTATATTTCCCAACAGTCGGGGATGGCTGACGTTTTATGGCTGTATTCATGTTTCACTCTTGGGGTAATTTAAGATGCAATCACCATTTAGTCAATCTTCATTACATTGGACTCCACTGCTCCACCAAGCACACAATTGCTTGACATTGATTTTGCAGATTCTCTCGGTCCATGTGTTTCCTCATACAGTGTATGCTAAAGTTCTCCTCTCTGCAGGTCTGTGCAAAGTAAGATGTTAACAAATTACAACAAAAACGTGAATCCCTTGAGGATAAATGTGTTCATTTCAGCTCCACAATGGGCAGGAAATAGCTGATATTGATTCTGGACTTTCCCATTCCACACTGAGGTATCTCTAAACCACAACACTCGCTCAATCCAATCCAACATGGTTGCCTTTGATTTCAGCCCTCGGCTTCAAGGGGACTGAGTAATGATTCATAGAAGGCACAAGCACTACCCCTTGTGGCCCAACTGGCCCAGTGCAGCATGGGTAAATAGCACCTCAAGCTGCCCATGAGCCCCTCCTGATAAGTTAACCTTGTGATAACATGCTAATGCCTGATTAATGTTGCAGTAATTAAACACACGCTTTTCACACTCTGTTAAGAGGACATCCTCCAGCAATTAGCCTGAGTCGGAGAGAGATAATTTCAGAGAGCACAGCAGAATCACGTTCCTTATAGCTCGCCTCCATTCCCACTTGGCAACATCAGGTCTATTTTCTCGTTATTTAATTACTTGTTTGATGTTTCATACAGCTGCCACAAGTAATCTTTGATCCAATTAGCAAATACTGATTGGCAGTGTGGGTGTGGGACTCAGTCAGCTGCATTCAGTTTGCTGCTGTGACTTTAACAGAAGATCTGCAGAGGATTCACTGTTCACCACTGAATGACACATAAAAATAGAATTATTTAACTTGGCAGTATATTTTGCATAGATGGCACATTGTCATACATAGGCTACATGTGCATGTATGTTTATGTGTGTGTGTGTGCACGCGTGCCTGTAGCTATGAGTCTGTGAGAAGGAGCATGTCTGTGCGTTTCCTCACCAGACATCTAACAATGAGGAATGAATGCATTAGTGAGGGGGGGCCACTGTACTCTCCAGCCTCCATGCTGCCCATTAATAATGCACTGCCATGGAATAGATGAGGGTTAGCTGAGATTAGTCCTGCATTAATGACTCATTTGCTATTTCTATTACAGGGACATGTTGGTCTTTCTTAAACAAGAAAGATCACCCCACTTGTAATTGACTTTATAAGCCTATATCAAAACTGTCAGTAGTTCCACAAAGCCAGCTGTGTGATTTCTTTTGAGTGTTGACTGGAACCGGTGGTACAAAATGAAACTAACAGAAGTTTTGTATTATTTCAACAACTCAAATCACAGTGAGACAAACATTTAAACAATATGCATAACAATTATGAATGATGTAGCTGTCAGTTGACTAGCAGTATCTGTTCCTGCAGGTGTGTAATGTGACCATTAAAACCTGACACACTATTATTCTGCTGATTCACTCATTCCATGATGGAAGTGTTTCTGACTGCAGTGGTGGAAGAAGAGTTTACTTAGACAAAAGAACCAGTACAAGAATGTAAAAATACTCAACTGGGAGTGAAAGTCTTGCATTTAAAATCTTAGCATCACACAAGTATTTTATATATTATATTATTAAATTGTTACTACAGTTGTAACAATGTGTTAGTAGCATTTTGTTGATTCTAGTGGAGTAAGAAGTATTAGGTTGCATAAAATTCAACTACTCAAGTACAGTAACACAAAATCATTCTCAAGTACAGTATTTATATTTACTATATGAAAAATATCATCACAAGGAATGGCACCAGTAATCCTCTAAGAGCTAAAGCAGATGGCCACTTTGCTAATATTAACCAATATATGTGCTGTAATTTCTGTTCACTTGCACTATTAACCCAGTATTTATTAATCAGTAATTTTATCTCCTCAAAGGTACGGAAGAGTATTAGGGCCACTGCATAAAAAATTATGCAGTGGCCCTAATACTCTTCCGTACAAAGGCGACAGTGGTGCAGTGGTAGAGCATTTATCTCCCAATCAGAAGGTTGAAGGTTCGAGTCTCGATGCCGGCAGTCCACGTGTTGAAGTGTCCTTGGGCGAGACACTGGTTGCCCCCCAATAGCTAGAGCCATCGGTTGAGGTGGCGCCGCAGATGGCTGCCATTGGTTCTGTACTGGAAACAAATTCCTTGTGTGTAATATACTTGGCCAATAAAGGTGATTAAAGCAGGGAAAGCACTTAAATGAATCAAGGGTCTATTTTTGTGAATGGCTTTTACTTTTGATGCTAAAATGAGCAACTGATGCAATCATAATACGCAAAATGTAAAACTGACACTATGCATTCTCAGTCACTGACACTGTTCACATAAACTGTTTTACTTTAAGTACCATAGGTGTATTTTTGAAAATTTTAGCTGGTCTATAATTATACAGTACATGCTTTTTTTAATAAAAAACTTTAAAGCTTGATATTGTACTCTGTTGGGGATACTGTAATTATATTTTCCATAACCACCAAGGAGGCAGAGAGGTGCTGGTTTCTGTTCATCTCACTGTGCTTTTAAAAATCACTTGATCTTTGCTTGTATGTAAAAGGGTGTATACGGCTGAAATGTCACAAAAGACCAGTGGTGTAAGAAGTATTCAGATCGTTTACTTACATAAAAGTAGCAATACCACTGCAAAATACAATGTTACAACTAAAGGTCTTGCATTCCCATTATTAGTTAAGTAAAAGTACAAAAGTATTAGCATAAAATAGAATTAAAGTATCAAAAGTAAAAGTACTCATTATGCAGAATGGCATCATTCACATTAATGTATATCATATCATTGGACTATAATTATTGTGTACATGATATTTAATGTTGCAGCTGGTGCAGGTAGAGCTAATGTGAACTACCTTATATGCTTTTACTTGGAAGTACTTTACATACTGCTGGATAGCTTGTGAATTTCCCAAAAGGGATCAATAAAGTCTAATGATTCTACTGCAGACTCTTTAATTCATCTCAATCTGTAAGTAACTAATAACAAAAGTTATAAAATAAATGTAGTGAGTAAAATACATTATTTTTCTGTAAAATGCAGTGAAGTTGAACTATGAAGTGATTGAAAAAGAAAATACTCAAGTACAGATACCTCAAAAGTGTACTTAAGTACAGTACTTGAGTAAATGTTCTTAGTTACTTTCAACCTGTACAAAAGACCAATACCAGCACTGAACCAATGCTACTGCCAAGCATTGAATGGCATTCACACTGAAGAAGGCATAGCCATAACATCAATGCATTTTCCTCCTGTGCTGATGTGTAACAATTTGAAATATTCACAAGAGAAAGTCTCACTGATTTGAATGTGCAAACCCTCTTCTCTTTTTTGTTTCACAGTTTGAGTAATTGTTTCAGGCACAAAGCATAGCCAAAAATTCATGGTTACTTGTATCGTTCTGCAGTAGAGGTGCATGTATAGGTACAGCCAAATAAAGCTGAAGTTCATCTTAATGTTGGCAACTATCAAATTCACTGATCAGAATCCAGCTGCCGAGGAATTTTGTTATTCATGACTGCATCAGTCAGCTTCCGAGAAAAGGTGACCAAGAGTTTCTGCAGTGCCATATTCATCTCCTCAACATCACTGGACAACAGCTAGAGCTAGTGATAGCCAAGTGGTGTATTGATGGATAGTTTCAGGAGCTGAATGAGGCTGTCAAGAAGAGAAAGACCTGGTATAGAATTAGTCAGATGCTGCAGGACCTGCTGGGACACTGGGTCCCTGGCAGAAATGGGCAGTGGTGCAAGTTTTCCCCCGAGTTTACAGATTCCAAGGAGAAATCTGCTTTACTGAATTCCCTGGAGATTCAAGATTCCAACCTACCAGACTCCAACACTGCAGTACCTGAAGGGTCTGCAGGAAGTTCTTGAGGTTTCAGAGTACATTGAAGCAGATGTATGTGAAATTTATCTGCACCTTGCAGAGAAAATCACCCCCATGTTGGAAGATGGAGGCATCCCCATGAAAGAACTGTTGGACATTATGAAGGTCTGTGTACTTAAGGAACCTGGAGTCCTGGAAAGCATCACTACTGAGCCCCAGTACTGCCACATGAGGAGACTGTGGCTTACCACCTTCTGTCTAACAATGTGTTTATTCTTGTAAATTATCAATGACTGTGAAATATTGACCTAAACCTGAAAAATCGATTTGCTTTTCTCTTAGTTCTTTCAGTTTAAAAAATTGCAATTACACTTTGCTGCATCTAGACTGACTTATACCAAAGAAGCAGAAGAGTTACATTTACATTGTCTTTATCCAGAGCAAATGGAATTTTGCAGGCACTGAAAGTTGGGTGTAAAAACGTAGCCGACTTTATACCATATGATACACACATATGCTTCAGTTCGTTCCAAACGCATTTCCTTTTTTTTTTTACATTTTCCAGCATTAAAGTATTTGACACAAAGTAACGGGTAGTCTGCGCGTGCTCGGTACATGCCAGCTTCATCACACACACACTTTTGACCACAAAACCAAGATGCCCCTCCTCCATCAGCTGATATTGTGAACCCGAGCAGGAAGTGTCTCTTGTGTCTAGCTCGAACATGAGGAGGAGAAACTCTTTTACACGGAGCTACAGGGATATCAAACCGAGGTTTTGACGGTAAACTAGCCGTTCCGTACACGAGACAGACGCACGGTTACGCGCATTTCTGCTTGAAACAGAATACCGTTGTTTTTAATTGGCTGGGTGCGGAGTGTGCTGGGCTGCTAATGTTAGCAGTCGCGTTAGCTTAACGCAGTGTTAGTGATCGAAGTTGTCCGCGTTCACGTAAGTTGTTGTAATATCCCGGAACTTGTTCATTATAAAACATTTTGGCAAATTTGATGATTAAGACAACTTTAGGTTTTCTAGTTTGTCAGCTAATAAGACTAGATAGCGAGTAACATTAAGCTCGGCTAGTTGTTGTTAGCAGCTTTCAGAAGGACTTGATTTTGGGATGTGGTTTGGCAGAAGACAACTGTGGGACTTAAAAGCCAAACAGGTCTCTAAGTTAAAATTGCACTGAAATAACCGCATGTTAGTGTTTTAGTAGAAACAAATGGAGAACGGGTGTGTGGATGTATTGAGTTTATTTATTGTTTTATAAGGGTATGTTTGTCTAGAGTCTGAGTGTTTTTAAATGTTTGGGTTTGACATAAGTTGTCATGGACAACTCATCTGGATGGCAACAGTGGGTATGAATGGTATGAAGGATCTAACGTTACTGACCAAATAAAATGTCTCGGCAGGTTTTGGTTACAGAAATGTCCCACACGTGCTTAATTTCACTTTCCTTTTGCCTGTGAACTCTGGGAAACGTTTTAAATCCACACCAAACAGCTTCATTGAGAATGCTGTTTAATTTAAACCTTTCAAAACGTCTTACAGGAAAAGCACTGGGAGATGGACAGTTGCAGAAAAGGACGACCGTGGGGCAAGCTGGTCAAAGTGGACTCCAGTGAAACTGTCCTGCTCTTCGACAGGGAATACACAGTTGGCCGCAAAAAAGGTAGGTCAGTTTGTGTATGATATGGAGTGAATGACAAGGATTTGTCTTCATCTAAACATCTGAACATCCTTTATCCTACTTTACAAAGCTCAAAGTGTAGTGATAGCTATTAACAAAAGACACTGAGTGTCGACTGCTGTCTGGGGGCCTTTACAGCCTCCCCCTTGAAAACACACAGTCTTCTTTAGTGCCCCAAACTTAGACAGCCCCTTGTCACGATAACAAAAGGCCTTCATTGAGAACATGTGTTCCGAATATTAAGTAGATTTTTTTTTTTTTTGTATGGGTTTTGCTTAATAAAAGGTTAGGCCTATACTTCCCCCCTGTGTCTGCTTTGTTGTCGGGAACTGTTTGGAGTCTACTTTTTTGCAATGCAAAGCAACTAGCCTTAATTGGTTAGCTTATGTCTGGGCAAGAAATGATTTAAAAATGCCATGGCAACACAGTTTCAGGTGAACCTTGGCAGTATGAAGTATAAAAGATAGCCTGAAGATGTAGCGGTGTATCACCAAGTCTCGCTGAAAATATTAACTTAAGACACGTTGTCACTCTCAGACAGAGTCATATATTACCCGTCATACTCCCCCAAAAGGGCACTAAAAATCTGGAGCATTCACTAGGTTCAGTCTTGGAGAGCCGAAGTAATTTGTATTATATCCAAAATGTGTTTTGTTACTTTGTTGCCAGGGTGTTATCTGTCCTTTCCAGCCAGTAAACTGGTCTCAGGGGAGCACTGTAGGATTTTTCAAGATGAAAGTTCAGGACTGGTGTGGCTTGAAGACATGAGGTACTGTATACTAAATATTTATCTATCAGAGAACTGCAACTGCAGTACAAAGCTGATGCTTGTTTTATGTGTTGTTTTCTCAAAGGATGAAGTTTTGTGGTGCACTCTTGATTAGGGATCAAATGAAACCAACCTTATGTTGGGGGAAAAAAAAATGTAACTGTTTGAAAGACAGACTGTGCTTGTATTTTAAGAGCCGTTCAAGTGTGCACGTGTGTATGATTTGATGCTTGTCCTGAAAGGTGACGTATCTAATTGCACATTTGTCTGTAGCACAAATGGCACCGTGATCAACATGTCCAAACTGGTCAAGAAACAAACTCACATGCTACAGAATGGTGATGTCATCCACTTTGTATACAGGAAAAGTGAGCCAGAACAAAGTAAGTCTTTATTTTGTTTGCAATGAGAATAAGTTTAAGTGAACCTGTTAGAAGGAAAGACAGAGAGCTTCTCTTGTCGCCCTGTAGACATCGCCTATGTTTATCACGCAGTCAAACCGGAGCAAGCTATTTCACAGCATAGTTATGGTAAGTAGTCTGGCAGTCCCCACAGCTCTTTTGTCGATTGCCACTGCTTTCATTCTGTAGCTGTATTGTGCCTCAGCAGTGACCCCCACCCTGTATGTAAACTTCAGACATGGAGAGATCAGCGCACGGTGCTGCTCCAGCCTCAGAGATGTCACTCTCCGTGGAGCCTGTAATGCTCACAAAGGCCCCTCAGGATCTAAGTCAGGAGGAACCTCAGCCCTCCACCTCCCACTTCTGTATTGAGACCCCGGCCAGTTCTGGTTCCATGGCAACCGCCGCCTGTCCCGCCTCTGGTAGGTCCTCTGCTAACATGCTGCTGAAGTGGTCTGAGGGATTTTTTAAAAATACAGTATGTCCTTATAAATTTCTGTGAAATTTTAGTAATCATAAATTAGTGATTGACTGTTAGTCAGTTGGCTGATAATTAATTAGGACCAATATTTGGGCTTTTTAGATCATCGGTATCAGTCAGTGTCTGCGCTTACAAGGCCGATTAACAGAAATGTTTGCAGATGCATCTGCAGGAAACCTTGTTGGTGTCTTTTAAAGTTTTTTGAGTACCTGCATATATA